CCGAACAAAAAACGCCCAAAAAAAAACCCAAAAAAAATCCCTTTTCCCTCAGAATCCGGCCAATTTCCAGGCAGCTCCGCCGCCCTCAGAGGCCGCGGGGATTTGTCCCCGCCCGGAAGTTTTTAAGGACGGATTCGGATCGCCGAGGGGGAATTGGCAGAAAACAAAAAATCCAAAAATTGCCGGGAGGCAGAGATTTTTTTTCAGCCTTTGTCGCCCTAAAAGGATCTGTCTGCTGGGGAGCTCCGGGGAAAACGGGTGGAAATTTTATGATTACTAAAATGAGCAGAGAAAAAAAACACAGCAGCCCGGCTAGCTCAGTCGGTAGAGCATGAGACTCTTAATCTCAGGGTCGTGGGTTCGAGCCCCACGTTGGGCGCTTCCTTTTCCATTTTCTTTCCCTTCATCACCTAAATTCTATTATTTCTTTATTTATTGTAGTTTTTAAATTATTCTAATTTCCAAATTATTGTTATTTTTTAAATTCTTCTCCTTACTTTATTATTCCCTACTTATTTTTAATTGCAATTTTTTAAAGTCATTATCCCAGGTTTTATTATTTCCTTCTCCTTAATGTCATTCCTCCTTTTTGAAATCATTGTTCCTTTTCCGAATCCTTTTTGCTTTGTAAATTATTGTTCCTTTTAAACTATAATATCATATCATATAATATCACAATAAAGGGCTATAACTATAAAATAATAATAATAATAATAATAATAATAATAATAATAATAATAATAATAATAATAATAATAATAATAATAATAGTTGTAATCATCATCTTCGTTCCTTCTAAAATAATTAGTATTAGTATTAGTATTAGTATTAGTATTAGCATTAGTATGCCAGGTTTTCCTGATCTTATTCTGTGAGAATGATTGTTCCTTTCAGAAATCATTATTCCATTTTAAAATCCTTTCCCCTCAACAACTGCTCCTTTTTAAATTATTATTTCTTTCTACTTTTAACAATCATTATTATTCTGTTTTTAATAATTATCCTTTATTAGTATTTTAAAAGTCCCCACAAAGCAGCAGAAAAAAAAAAAAGGTAAAACCAAACCGGCCCCTCCACCATAAAAAAAACAAAACAAAAACAAAAACAAAAACAAAAAAAAAAATAAAAAAACACCTCCACGTTTTGCTCTGTTTTGCCCAAATTTCTCGCCGTCAGGATGGCCGAGTGGTCTAAGGCGCCAGACTCAAGGACTCTCCTTCCCTCGGGATTTCTGGTCTCCTCATGGAGGCGTGGGTTCAAATCCCACTCCTGACAGCGCAGGGGTTTCTTTTAAAAAAGTGTTTTAAAAATACCCCTTTTTCCTGCTATGCTTTCCCTTTTTTCAAATGATAATTCCTTTATAAATCATTATTTCAGTTTGTAAATTGTTATTTCCCTTTTAAAATCATTATTCCCATTTTCAAAGCATTAACCTCCTTCTAAAACTTATTTTTCTGTCTCTGATATTACTATTCCTTTTCCAACTATTATCCCTCTTTTTAAAAGCATTCATCCCCTTTTCTCAAATTATTATTCCGTTTATCGAGTGATCCTTTTTCGAATTTCCCCGCTCTTTTCCATATTGTTGCACTTTTTAAAATTTTTGAAATTGCTCTTTGTAAATAATCCTAATGCAAAATAAACAATTGACTCCTCTATAATGGGCATTAATTAATTTCAGTATTCAACTGCAATTAGTTTAGCACAGCCAGCAAACGCCTTTCTTATAAACGTAATGAAAAAAAATACAATAAGCATTATTGTTTATTTATTTATGTATTTATTTATTCATTGCTAGGTAACAGAAGGCGCTGGGACAGGAGGAAGGGGACGAGGCACAAAAAAAGAGGAGAAAAGGAGTGTTTTGGGAGTTAGGACATGTTTAAATATCAGTAGATTTTTCCAAAAAATGACTTCCTAGCGCAAAGTAAAAGCTTATTCCCTGACCGGGAATCGAACCCGGGCCGCGGCGGTGAGAGCGCCGAATCCTAACCACTAGACCACCAGGGAGCTGCGATAAGCGCCTTATCGCCCATAACACGACCTAGACACAAGATTTTTGGGTTGAATTCACTAAAAATGGGGGTCTCTGTGCATTTTCTCCCTTTTTATTTCTCACTCCCAAATGGTAAAAGCCTCTCAGAACCCTCGGACCAACATTTCTCTGAATTCTCCTTGCAGGAAAATGGAGATGATGGAAATGATGGAAAAAAATTATCGAGAAATGATGGAGAAATGAGGGAGAAAATTGTGCAGAAATGAGGGAGAAAATTTCAGAGAAATTATGGAGAAATTATGGAGAAATTATCGAGAAAATGATCGAGGAATTATGGAGAAATGATTGAGAAAATGATGGAGGAAATTATGAAGAAACGATGGAGAAAATAATCGAGAAATAATGGAAATGATGGGAAAATGATGGAGAAATTATGGAGAAAATTATGGAGAATATGATCAAGAAACTATGGAGAAAATGATGGAGAAATGACGGAGAAATTATGGAAATTATGAAGAAATTATGGAGAAGCAATGTAAAAAATGCAATTTCCCACCCAAACCCCCTCTCAGCTGCGTACCCCACCTCGGGGGGCTCAGGGGCTCAGCCTGAAGCAGCACCCCCTGCCCAGGCACAGCAGGGGCAGCAGCTCC